CCTTTATTTGACTGAAGTGTGTTCAAGCTCAGTGCCATTTTTAGTTTCAGGCGGAAGGTGGGTGTGTAGACTGGTTCAGTAGGGAAATAATAAGAAATGTTATTTTAAATAGTGCCTTTTTAAAGGTGGCTTCTCAAAGCACTTAAGAAACTAAGGAAAGGGAGAACTAAGAATACAGGAGAGCTCCAAGTAGACTCATAGAGCAAAACTCTACCAGAGCCCAGAACATTGTCAGAGCAAAGCTTAAGAAGCCTGAAACACCTGAGGCTCAACGGGACTGAAGATGCTCAGTGGTAAGAGAGATCAGGTTAATTGATTCTTAGTGAACTGTAAGAGGACTGCCCGAGACTGAATTATTGTATCATCTGTGTTGGCTGAGCTGTAGAGCAGTGCATGAGAGATGCTCTTCCCTCCAGGATTCTCACTGGGACCTTGCCTGTCTGTTCCAGAGATGAAGTTGGAGTCAGGATGGATCCTAATGCTTCTGCTGTGTGTCCTCCAGGTCTCTGTCTTAAAATCAGGTACAGCGAGAAAATGAAAACATTACCAACAGTAAATACAGCAACACAACACGATGAGATCATCAGCCAGCAGCTCACAGTCTTGTATCCGAAACTCTACTATGAGCACCAGAATCAGACAGCACTATTATATAATCCAAACATTATAAAATAATAAGAGATACAACATGGCTGATTAGATCATTTCTCTTGTCTCCTGTGACTGACTGGGACTCACACACATGGGCAGAGTTTGGATTGGTGATCTCTGAGAGTCACTGGACACATGCAAACGTATGCCACCAGCTGTCAGGGACATACCTATACAGCTGTTCTGATCAGTGTGAACCTCAATGTCAGATCCAGAGGATCCTGCAGGGGGTCAAAGTTTCAAACACTTTGCAGGTGGAAGTGTTACAGGAGCCCATCTGTGTTTCCCATGGTGATTCACAATTGACCGTACATTGCAAAGACATTCTAGAGTCTAAAAGATTGATGGAGAAGGACTTCAAATTCCCCAGCCAGCATGGCATTTAGAGGGATTGATGCTGATCTATAGACCCATGAGCTGGATCTTGAATGAATTAACAGGCCCAAAAGACATCTTAGACCCATGTCACTGAGTCTTGAAATGGGAGCAGAGATTTGTTACTGGGAGAAGGAAGAGAGCACTTCTGATTTATTTCCTGTTTATGTGCAAGAAGTCATGTAAGGGGCCCTGAGTTTAGTTCCTGGGATGTTGTGTGTGAGGATTGTGTATGTTGTCCCCATGTTATTGTGGGTTTGCTCTGGGTGCTACACTATTAGATTAAATACCTATGATGGTAGCCGGTTCATTGTCTTGTGAGAGAATTGGCCCTGGTGTGTCTGTGTCTCTATCTCTGTGTGTGTGCCCTGTTATGGACTGGTTTCCACATCAAGAGTGCACCCTGCCTTGTGCCCATTGCATGTTGGGATAGGCTCTGGCTCCCCTGTAACCTTGTGTTTATTGAAGTGTTTTGAAATTTGGAGTGATGGATGTATCATGTATTTTATTTCTCTTCCCAGAGACATTCCGAGTTCTGGGCCCGGCGGGTCCTGTTGTTGCTACTGTTGGTGAAGACACTGTCCTGCCCTGTTACCTCTCGCCCAGCATCAGTGTGCTGGAACTGGAGATCAGGTGGTTTAGAGAGGACTTCACGAAACCCGTGTTTCTGTACCTGAACCACGTGCCTAAATTAGATTCCCAGCTCCCGTCCTACAAGGGAAGGACTGATCTCTTCCAAGTGGAATTCACAAGAGGCAACGCCTCTCTAAGACTGAAGGACGTACGAGGAACCGATGATGGCCAGTACACGTGCATGGTTAGATCAACAATCTGGTACGAGGAAGCTGTGATTGACGTGGCTGTGAGGGGTAAGTCTGTTCACTGCCTGGTTTTCTATAGTGTGAGTTGTTACTGCATTGTGACAAAGAAGCTGTTCAATAATAGTACTGATGTTAACATGCTGGCATGAAAATAGTAACCATACCATCTTGGAGGAAAGTCATTGTCATTGATTTTCCTCAACAGTTCTTGATATTCTTGATTTTAAAGTGCATAAAGCAAAAAAAAAAACATTACTTACCAGCCTCCCAAAATCACATAAAAACTGGAAACAGACCAAGGATCTCTTAGTCAGCCAAACTAGATCTGAGTCCCTATTACTGATTATTACCAGTTTCATATATGGTGAAACCCACTTAGTTCCCATGAAGCAGTGGCCCTTGAAAGGGATATGTACATAATATTTTACAAGACAATGGACAAGTCATAAATAAACAAGACTAATTATGGGTTACCCATCTCTCAACCTAATTCTTTGACACAGAAATGGCACATTCACCCTTGGGATGACCCCCAGCAGGGTCAAACGCATTGTGTGTCTATAGAAGGGGAGGCCAGCAGCCAAACTGTTTATGTTAACATGGTCATCTTCAAACTCTGAAAGTGGTGTTCAAAGGTGGTCATTTTTGATTCACCTTCTGTATCTCAGGCCTTAAGAGCCTACAAAGCAAACCTCTACCTCTGAACCCACTGTTATGATTTGGGAAAGAATGGAGGGATAAGTATCATATCTTTCCTCATGTGTATCGTATAGAACATGCATGAAAGAGAAAACGTTATTGGAGTAAGGAAATATTTGCCCCTCAAAATTAGTAAGAAGAACAGGCAGGCTACCCTATCACTGCTCAGAAATCTGTAATGCACAGTATGTTAGAAAACGGTCTGTGAAGTCTAAATACCTGTATTGTGACTGCTGCCAGCTCTGGGGACCCAGCCCTCAGTGTCTCTCCACTCCACTGGAGGGGGTCAGACCCAGCTGGTGTGCAGGTCAGAGGGGTGGTTCCCCGCACCTGCGGTGACCTGGACAGACAGGGATGGACAGGATGTGACCTCACTGTCCAGCACCACAGTGGAGAGGGACAGTCGGGGGCTCCTCAGTGTCAGCAGCTACCTCCCGGTCAAACAGGAGTCCAACATCTTCTCCTGCCTGGTGAGAAGTGCAGTGCCTTATCCAGACAGGGGGTCTCTCCTCCACATAAGCGGTGAGTCCTAAATGTATTAATTTGCATTTGACTATTATGATTGGAGCATAATGACAAGCAGATTCACAGCAGTGGTCTTATCAGGCGGTGGTGATAAGCCAATTAAGCTAATTCCGCAGACTCAAGTTCCCGTACTTGAATAAGACACTCTCCTCTCTATCATATTGCATTATTTCTTGCTAAACCAAAGTCTGATAGTTTGATGGAGTCTAGTTTTTATTGGGGAGAAAACACTGAGATCTCTTCCATGGAGGTCCGATGCATGCAGTGCTGCACAGATAAGTTTCTACCTAGCTCTGCACCCAACCGATTCTTCCTTATGGAGGAATGCTAAATCTCCATACTTCCTTTTAGACTCATACGGCTGTGTCCGTTTGCAGGGAACGTCTTCCCAGACTCTTTGATATGGCTGGTGGCTCTAATCTCGACTGCAGTTCTCTGGGTCATGCCAGCTGCTTTCTTGATTCACAAGTGGAGGAGACTGCACGGTATGTGGCGATTATGGACACCACAGTATCTCTGTCTTTGATATGATGAAGGAGAGGGGGGAATATGGAGGTAGGGGTAGGGCGAATTGAGGAGAGAGGTTCAAAAGAGTTAGAAAGCAGTGGGAAGTGTAGAGGACAGAAATCTGCAAATGAATTGTGAGATTTAGAGACTGGGGCACCAGGCTGAAGGATAATGTTAATGTTCTGCTGTCTTTGACTCCCTATGAAAGGACATGGATAGAATGAGTCAAGGCGAGTAACAATCCGTCACACCTCAGTTTGGAGACAAAAAGCAGAAGGGTGAGAGGTGCCTTTACATGAAAAATGACATTTTATATACATTTTTATACATGAAATTTCTACTGTACTGAGTTGCAAAATAGAGCACTACTTTGATTTTCATGCCAAATGTCTGCAGGGAAAAGCAAAGAATTGTTTTTGAAGATCAGACGCAGTACATTAGCTTAATGGATTTCCATTTCGGTACTTACCTAAGAGCTGCTGTTGTTGGAGTCATTACCTTAAACCCAACACAGTACACAAAATACAGCGGTGGGATTTAATTCAGTGCATTTATTACTGTAATCGCACCACTTCCTTTACTGTGAGTGGGCTTAAAGATTGTTTCTCTGATTTTGTTTTTCTTTTTTACAGACTTTCCCATGCTGCACAGAGAACTTGGTGAGCACTGAATCCCCAGAATTCGTTAAATAAAATAACTAGTGGTACTTGTGTACTTCGTGGAGTCTCGAACCGAAGCCGGTCCGTTGCCTCGCCAACCAGCCTCCTCCAGTGCGTCC